TTCATACCCGATTTCTGAACACAATGAAAGAAATTGAAGTGGAGATCATAGAAAAATTTAATATTTAGTATCTGAAAAAACAAATCAATTTTAAAAAATCAGGTGAAAAATGTAAAAATCTTAGAAACAAAACAAGAAATAATCGAAAACAAAAATTTAAGCCATTTTAAATTTGAATCAGAGAAATGGTTTTCTCTGTTTCTCTAATTCCCTAACTATTTTCTTCAAATTAGGACAAGGACATTTTGTCGCTGGCTACGTTTTCTCTTCCACTATTGTCGCAAGGTTTAAAAGAAAAGTTAAAATTATTTAATAGTTTTTGGCCGGGATAGTAAAATCTCAAACAAGTAGAGATTCATGTAGTTTTTACTTTTTGTTTTTAAAATAAATTGGAGCGAAAAATTTTATAGCGTTGGGTTGTCGGATCCGGATACGAAAGGATCCGAATATCCTAAATTTTTGTTCGGATATCGGATCCGAAGATTTCCAACTATCCGACAACCCTACTATAGTGAGATCCGACTGTAATTCTCCATATATTTTTAATGATAGCGGCGGCGCAAATGTTTTCGGCGCGCAAAAGTAACGGAACCGGTTGTACTATTTAGTTTAGATTCAATTCAGAAATTTTACTTGAGGGTTACCCAAAACCAAAGTTTGTGGGTTTATATTTACAAACAGTATAAGTAAAGACTCCATATAACAGGCAAATTTTTATGAGAAAAATTTAAATGTGCAATCGGTTTGAAGAGAGCGGTTCGGGAAAAATACATAAAATGTTGCCTTCAGACATAAACGTTTTTATAATCCGTTTGAGAATTAATTCTGTCAATATTTACATGATTGTGTAATTGAGGAAAAGAGTGCCTTTCTAATAATATTCAGAAAAATTAAATTTACTACCCCAATAAGACCTAATAAATTTAGAATATTCAGTACACGCTAAAACGAGGGCGTCAAATCGTTGTATTTAAATAAATATACATAGCAGGGTAGAGACTTTCCAACATTTTTCCTACAATTTTAACGTCTAACACCTTTGCGTAAATATAGAAATGTGGCTTTATTCGAATAAATATACGATAAAAGAATATAACGAATAATGATCGGATAGCCTTAGATCTCCTGCCCTTGGGCAAAATTTAAAAAACTTTTCTCTCAAATTTGCATTCGAGTTGCGAACCCTAGAGATGTCCAAGATTTTGCCGGTACTCCCGGTTTTCGGTTTTTGACTGACCTCCGGTTTTTGGTTAACGGAAACCAGGAAAAAACTAAAAAAGGATAAGTAACAACTTGTTACTTATCATTTTTTTAGTCTTTGTCTTCAATTAAAAAAAATTTTTGGTCCTAGACACCACTACCAGGGAAGGGTCGAGTTACCCAAACCCGTGCTTTATTGCACCTAGATCTCTACCGATCACTATTATAAATGCAATGATAAAAGATAAAAGTGATTATCCAAAAAATCAATTTTTCAAGTTCCTGGCATCCTCTGAAATGTATAAGGACGACCAAAAGAGCGTTGTTCCAAAAATTCACGTCTCCATTTGACAAAAGTCCAGCAACTTGCGGTGCTCAGAAATGAAGCGAACGCGAAGGTATAGAAGGAGAAAAGTTTGTCTTTAGAAGATTTGGTATAGCAAGGCCTGGAAATTTTTAAGGTAATTATTGAACAGATTGAAGATTCGGATATTCTAAAATTGATTAGTGAACTCTCGTTAGAAGCGACATGGAGAAGTTTGCGATTTTATATAACTAACGATCAAGCTGAAGGACGAGAGTCGCTAATAAAGTCGACAATAACGAGAGTTGATAATAAAGACGGCTGCTAATAGTATAGTCGCTAATAACGAGAGCTTCTAATAAAGTAGCTAATAATGAGATTCGATGATGAAGTCATGAAGTCGCTAATAACGAGAGCTAATAAAAAATCTCCTAAACTCACACATAAACAGTCGAATTATTTTTGAAATTATCAGTGCAAATGTAGGCATTGTAATAGCCAGTAGGATTGCAGTGTTCTGAAATAAATATTGAGTTAATCAACAATAATTTTTAGACCTATTTGAAGAGCATTTCTTTCAAAATCTGAACATTTTTGGCAATTTTGAAAAATAGATACTGTAAAATTAGATGTTGAATTATTTGTTGGGATGGAAGAACAAATATTTTGTTGTTCTAAATCAGAAGATTTTTGATTGTTTAAATCAGTTTCTATTGTAGGGTCCTTTAAAAATTTAAAATTATAAGGGAGGGTAAAGCTTCAGGCGGTTATTGCTAGGAGTTATCGCCCACAATATGCAAGTGCATGCGGACATATCGGGATATTTCAATGTACGAACAGTTACACTACTGATTTCGGGACCTACGGCCACTGGGTCTTGGATAGTATATTGTCCCATTGAGAAATAAAGTTTTTATGTTTTAGAACAAGTGTAAACATGCAAGAAATTATTTTGCCACTCCAATCCCGATATGTCCGCACATCATGTGCAAGTGCTCTACCGACTGAGCTATGTTGCAGTGCTTATGCTCCTACGCTATGCTATACTTCACCTTTTTATCTTTTTTTCTTACTACCTGATGAAAAAAAATTTTTTTCCTTATTCCCGTTCTCCGTGGCGCTGTCTCCGCAAAAATTATTTTCCCTTGGCCCTCCTTCCCCGACCAGAGTTGCACGAAAATTTTCGTTTCGTTTTTCATGATTTTCGTGATTTTTTTCATGAATTTCGTTTCGTTGAGATTTTTCATTTTCGTGCAGCTCTGTCTTCGACCTTCATTGGACTCATAAACTAGACCAGCACCCGAACCCATTCCCCTAAAAATTTAACAAATTCCTCACACTCTGTATTTGCCTTCTAAAAAATTTATTTGTTCCCAAATTCTCTTCAACATATTCTCCAAAAAATAGAATAAATAGAGAACAACTAAAAATTTTTTTTAAAGAAATTCAATTTAATTCACATTAACAGCAACCCAACAAGGGCAAGCATACGAGGTCTATTACCACACCAATCCAAAAAATTGGCAATATTAATTTTAAAATTGTTGTTATTGTTGTTAGACATTTTTGAAATTTTTGGGAGGATTTTTTTTTATTTTTAAAAAATTTTTTAACGCTGAAAAAAATTTTTAGAAAAAATTTTTAAAAAATTTAAAAAATTTCTAGGCAAAATAAATAGGTATTATTGAATAAACCATTTAAACTACTGTCAAAATCTCGCTAATACGACATCTCATCACACTTCACTCTCTTTACACGTCGGCTGAATGCGGCAGCAGAAATGTGCTTTTTAGCTAGGGTACTATCTTATGGGGCGGGGAACGCTTTTGTGGGAACCAAAATTCGGGCTGTGGGGAAGACTAAAAAAATTTCCTCGTTCCCATTGCCGTTCTCCGTGGCGCTGTGTCCGCAAGAATTTTTCCTTGGGCTTTCCTTCCCCCGGAAGGAAAGTGAAGTATAGCATAGCGGGGGAAGGCCTCCAGACCTGAGGGAAGGCCTCCATCGTTCCCCGTAGAATTCTTTTCCCCAGAGAGGGAGTCGAATCGTATTTTCTCAATTTAAGTAACTTCTAATACGGTCCCAGTGTCGTATTAACGAGATTCAAACGTAATATGAAAGAAAAGATATTCCAGTTGATAAAATAAATTTTAATAAATTAAAAAATAATAGCAAAACAAAGGATAATCTGATCTCACTAAAAGAGCCCCTACAAAAATACCTCTATTTAATGAACGGTTTTTTAAAGGTTGATTATTGGGTATGGTACAGCAAACGCTGTAATGCCAAAAGCCATCAGACCGATGGCTTTTGGGTGTCCGACGGCTTTTGGGTGTTGGCGTGCCCCTGGTCATTGGAAAGAGCCGAAGCACGGTTATTGCTGCGACCAGGGGCCTCTGCAAATTAGATCATATCTCAGTTATGACGTGTCGTATTTGTGACTAGAATCCGACATCTAACCCACTAACTGACCATCATTGACCTAATGTCGGACTCTAGTCACAAATATGACACGTCATATCTGAAAAATGATCTAATTTGCATAGGCCCCAGATAAGTCTTCTATTTTTAAACCTATGCGATACCCCCTATTTAAGCTAGGTACACAGTGGTTCAAACCCGTTGAAAGAGAGCGCATAGCAAACAGAGAAAAAGGCCGTTTCAGTGCCAATAATTAATACCGTTTGAGTGCCAATTCATCGCAGAGTTTGAGTGTCAATGAGGGGAACTCTCTCTCTCATCCTTATATCTTTCAGCCCTCTCACCCGATTTTTTTCAAATATTGTATTTTTGTAGTTAAAAAATACTTAAACAATCCTGCAAATTTTGAGAAGCCAATATGTATTTTTGGCAAGGTTATGAATTTTTAAAAATCGGTAAATTTCGTCCTATTTTAGGCCATAACTTTCTCCAAAGTTGTCCTTTTTTCCTAATTTTTGTTTTATATTATTCAGTGATGAAAAACAAACAAAACTAAATAGATTTTTCACAGGTTATAAGGACTCAACCCTTAGATTGAAAATTTTGAAAAACTTCGCCCATATTAACTTTTTTTAGAAAATATAAAAATTCATGAAATTTTTTTTATAAAATCTCAGAACAATTATTTATGAAATGGTTGCAACAGATTTTTTAAAAATTGCAAAAGTTTTCGAGATATTGGATTTCAAAATCGGCAACCTAAAATAGAAACGAGAGTAATGTTAAAAACGAGAGAGTAAGAAAATGAAAGAGAGGAAAAACGAGAGACTACACAAATTTTGCTATGCGCGCTTTTGAAGCACTGTGAGGTATACCCCGTTATAAGATATAATTTTTTCACCCAGTGAGATCAGATTGTATACCTCAACAATAGCTTCTTAAAGAAGTCAATTATAATTTTTAATGTCTCTTTTTTGCACCCATCTGGTTCCCTCAACCTTTGGAGGGTTTGAAGTTATATAAAGGACACGAGGATTATGCGACAAATGATCCCAAATAGCTTCTGGGTGAAATGCTGCGGCAAGAGAAGCCTTTTCTAATGAGACTTTGTGCAACGTTCGAAGAGAGGTAATGCCGTGTTCGTTGGAGAGAAGAGAAATTTGGGTTAATGATCCAAAAGCTTCTTCAACTTCGTTTTCAATTGATTCCATATTCATAAAACGAGAAAGATTTAAAGAGAAAGGCAACCAAATATTGGAAACTTCGTTAAATACGTCTGGAAATAGTTAAATTTTATGAGGACTTAGGAAGAGTAAAGTAAAAGTTTAGCCACAGAACAGGATTCGAAACGGCAGCAATGCTGCAGGGATCGGGCGACCTGGCTTAAACTTGTGCAGTTGCTACACAAATGCACACATGCAGGTACTAGGGCGACGATTAATGCCTTCTTTTCTCCTACGTCCCTAATCTGCCTCATATAGCACTAAAGCCTTTGCCTTTCTAATTATGCGAAGTAACTTAAGCACCCCTAATAAAATTTCTTTTCTTCTTATACCCAGGGCCTAGGGGATGGATAGTCATGAGTTCAGCAACTTGCTGAACTACATATACCTACCATTGCTGACAGTTAAATAGGGAAGCGATAGTAGGAGTTCCCTAGTTAAGAGTGGGGAATATCATGTGCGTTTCCTAGAGATGCTGAGAGCTATTGGTAAAGGAAATCGGACATGATCGAATACTGGGTGATATATATCTTTCCAACCCATATGGTTGATCAAAAGGCTGTTAGATATAAGTAATGGCTAGGGTGTTTCAAAACATGCAAATGCATATTTTGTATGCGGATATGCCATGAGCTGAAACGCTCAAAAATGGTGTTTTTACATCGGTACAAACATTAGGGACCGGGTTCCTATAGCATATTTTTGCATATTTCGGTACTTTCGAGCATATTTGCATATCGATGCATATTTTGGGAAATTTTGCATATTTTAGTGCATATTTAGGGATTTTTCGGTGCATATACATGCGCATATTTTTAAATTTTTCGTGCATATTTTGAAACACCCTAGTAATGGTACCTTTGGAGCGCGGAAAATTGGCCAACGGTACCTTAGGGCTCCCCCGAGTTTTCCCATATTTTAAAATCAATAAATAAATTTTTTAAAAAATCACCCATCAAATTAAGTTCCCATCCAAGATCAGCAACTTTAGGCTTTTTCCAACGCTGTTCAACAGGTATATCAATTCTTGCCTGTCTTCGTTCCCCTTCCAATCCACTAAATAAAGCGATAAAATCTTCTTGAGAAGGGAAAGGTTTAAAAATCCAATCCCAATCAGTTTTTTCTTCTCCGGGCAAAAGCGAAATAAAATGGGAAAACCAAATTGGAAATTTTTGGCATTCTGTATTTTCAACATTTAAATTTTGTTCATCTTCTGTATCATCCATAAAATCGTTAGTTTTTGGAATAGGGAAAAGACTTGAAGAGACCGATTCAATTGATAAGCTAATACCTTAAAGGGAGAGATTTTTTAATTATTTTGAAGGTATGGCAAGGGAACGAGTTGTTAGCTCGAAAATTAGTAGTAATGAATAGAGTTGGTCCCCGACGGGGGGAGGGCACGGGGAAAGCTTTTCAGGGAGGCAGCGAAAAATCCTTCAAATTCAACGACTTTCGGCGACGGGAACCAACCCTAATAATGAAAATGAAATGGATAAAAATCCTCCTAAAGGCCATTTTTTATTAATGTACTTTTTGTGATAATTAGGATTGTTGATTCAACCCGAACAGAACGCGAACCGAAAAATTCGGTTCGGTTAACTGTAGGGGGTTACTCGAAACCCAGTGTTTTTTACGACGCGAGAAATTTTCTTTTTCAAACCCCAATCCGAAACCCGACCCGACATTTTTCTCAACCCGTGACATTCCTGTCGGACAGTCTTCTGCCCCCCCCCCCAGAAAATTTGTAAGTTTGCCAGAGAAAAATTTTAAGTCAAAATTTTCAATTTTATTTATTTTCCCTACCCGGACACAATTTCCCATAAGCATCAGATAAACGAAGTGTCAACCAGAACTTGAAAAGAGGGCAGTTGTTTTTTGTCGGTAGCCACCACAAATTAATATGATACAAGTCCTCTGGGTGTATATCCGGTTCGTTAAAAATTTCCACAGATTTTTGAGGTTTTTTGGCTGTTGAATTTAAATAAAAGGCGATTCTGACTATTGAATGGATTATTGAATGAGCATCGACTAATTGAAAGTTAAAGCCTATATTGTCAATTCTAAAAGGGCCATATTGCTTTATTATTGCTATAACTGAAGTTAAGTGATTTGTCGAGTAGTGACGAAGCCCAGAAATGTGAATTTTCTGAAATAAAAATAAATTGTAATCAAGGCTGTACGCTTGTGGGCGTATAACCGATATCCCAACCCTCCTATCTAACATCTCATTAGAGACGTCCGAGACTCTTGGTCTTGAGTCAATTTTCGTGTGACGCCCAGACGTCAAACCCAAGTTATCAACCCCTTAAAAACTCCAAATGTCACAATGCCAAACCTGGCCACAAGCCAACCCAAAACGTCATTTTTCAGGCCAATTTTTGCCTAACAAAGGAAATAAAGTGGGAGGGACGTGATATAAAGAGCTTCAATTGTACATATCGTATCCACTGTATTTTAGCTGAATAATCCCCAACCCTTCTCACCAGCGAAAGGTTGAAAATAAGTACCCGGAGGCAAAACATTATCTTAAATACGATAATACTGTCGGAATTCATACAAGCGACCCCAGAATAATAGTTTTGCCTTTAGGATGGGCCTAGATCCTAAGCTTAAGTAGAATAGGGCGTGGGGTACCTGTCCCTTAAACACTCTTTTTTCGACCCACAATTCGAAACAAACGAAAACTTTTTTCAAAAACTCTATACGAAATCTGACGTATTATTACAACCTATCCTATCCCTTCTAACAGGGCTGTGCGCCAGAATTTTCGTGTGGCGCGCCAAAAGCCAAACGCCAATTTTTCAAATTTTCAAATCACGCCAAACGCCAGAACGCCAAAATCGGCCAAAAACGACGCCAAAACGCCAAACGCCAAAAATTTTATTCTACTAAGGCCCGAAAAACCAGTGTTTATCTTTTTTTAGCGCCGCAGGCGAAAATTTTTGAATTTTCACGACTTCTTGAAGCCAAAATTCATCCTTTTTTTAGCGCCTACACCCAAAATTATGTAAATTTGTTAAAAATTGCAAAAAAAAATGGAAAAATCACAACCCCAGAATTGTAGTATATCGAATCTATCGGAGAGAACAGGGGAGGGAGACCTAGTCCGGCCAAGGATAATAAGTAGATTTCTTTCCTTTTGTGCGCCGCAGGCGAAAATTTTGAAAATTTTGGAAGGCTGCATGCAAAAATATTTCATTTTTTGAAAACACTTCCCCCATTTATTTGGAAAATTCCCATCATTAGGGGTGTATAATTTTGGCGTTTTGGCGCGCCAAAAGAAAAAATCACGCCAAACGCCAGGACGCCAAAATCGGCCAAAAATCACGCCAAAACGCCACGCCAAAACGCCATGACGCACAGCCCTGCCTTCTAAGTATCTAACATCTCATTAAAGACGTCCAAGACACTTGGTCGTGAGTCTAGATTCGAAGTCTTGTTGGGGTTTTTTTTGTCTTGGTCTTGAAAATTTTCGGTCTCGGACGGGATATTATTTTTTCAACCCTCAGGGTGTAACTTATAATGAGGAGCATCTGTATGATCTACCTGTCCAAACATCAACCATTTTGCCAAAAGAACCAAAGAATAAGCAATAAAATCTTTCCCGGTCCTATAACGCTTGTCAATAACCAAACTAGTCATAACTCCACTACTGAATTTTATACTGTGCCAAACATTTGCAATATTTGAACAAAATGTTGGGAGTACTGGACAAAATTTGACAGGAAATATTGCCCTTCCGGGTGATGTGAAAACAATAGGGAAGTTGTAGAGTTGAGGTTGTGTTCTTAAATTTTAGAATTTGAAAAGAGCGTTCTATAGTTTAAAAAAAATTTTTTTGCTGTTCAAAAAGGAATTTGAAATAATATTCGGTAATCATTTAATATTAAAAAATATTGTAAAAAATAAAGGAGCCGAGAAGGTTCGAACTTTGACCCAACTCATCATAGAGTCCGACATTTTAGGTTCCGACCTATTTTTTTTGCAATCTTGTAATGTTGAGTAAAGCTCAAAAAACACTTATTTGGCATGGTACCATGCTCCTACATTGGACCTATTTGAGCCTAAAAAACCTATTTCGGCTTTTTTGGACCTAAAACCTATATGGACCTATTTTGACCTATTTTGGACCTATTTTAGGACCCCACTTTAAAAACCTAAAAAACCAGAAAAGAAAACTTGTTTTTGGCAATTTAACAGGAACCAAGAACCGGGCTCGAAACCGGCGATACCGAAGACCCGGGGGTACCGTAATAACCGGTCGTGTCCTACCCTAGTTTAAACGACTTTTAAGCAATAACGGAATAGAGACGAGATCTGGGTTATTTAACTCCCCTCCTCTGAATCTTTACTTTCAAGTATTTCGAAAATTTCGACATAAAATATTTTTCTCTACCCTGAGGATGTTCCTTGATGATTGCTACTCGTAGATTGAAAATTATTTTGATTTGGATGATTACGCCGCCGTTTTTTATTGGTGTTGTATGGTTGAATAGACATTTTGTCGTTTAAATATTTTTTATTGTTGTGTTGATAACTATAATTTTAAAAGGAAAATTTTTAAATACTATTATGAGGCCATAATCCGCTTGCGATCGCGTGCGAAGCTTAATTTTGGTGTCATTCAACTCAGCTCCTAGAGCTCTTTCGAATGTCATAGTGATGGATCGAATCGAAGTATGGGAGTTATGGCAGAGTTGGATGGTCTTTGGGTGAGAGGCCGGGTGAATTGGAAATGACGAAGGTGCAGGAAATCGGACCTGTCGGAAATCGGAAATGGCTCAAAAGTTGGAACTCGTAAGTCGGAAATCAGCCTAAATTTTCGGAATTCGGAAATGCCAGACGACAAAATGCCACATGAAAAAGTTAACAAGCAACTTTTTTTCCAAATTGGTTAATTCAAATTTTATAATTTTAAGATATAAAGATGGCCTTGGGCGATCGCCATACTACTTGAAAAACCTTTAAAAATATTTATTTTCTGAAACTAGTAGTACTTAAAAATTATTTATTTGTTAAATAGAAAACCTATAAAGAATAGAAAAAAAATCATCCATAGAAAAGAAAAACAAACAAATAAAATTGCTTAAAAATAAGGAAGTTGCTGCTAAAATAATATTTAGTGGTAGTTTTATATTTATTTTGCCGAAAATTTTTAGCGACCAAAAGGTGGATAGGATTTTATGAGGATGTCTGTTTATCGGTTTCACTTAAGGTTAGCGCTACAATGCAGCAACAACGCCTTTAAGGATATCGTGATTTTTTAAAAATGAACCCCCTCCCCCATTATACGGAACCGAACCGTTCTCCGTGTATTCCGTTCAAGCTATACAGAGACGTCAACCTTAGTTCCTATTAACCAAACAACCCTACAGAACGACTCGCAATATTTAAAAACGCTTAGGCGAGGGATTAAAATCCATAAAAGAGTAGAAGCTCTGCTAAAGCATAAAATCTGACTGTGTTTAGCAAAGCTCCTGGCAATAATTGTAAAAAGTAGTTGAGATTAGTTAATGGGAATATGAGGAATAATTGCTAGAAGGTCTCAAAAAAATATTTTAGTAAAAATGAAATCAGCCTTAATTTTTCTACTAACAATTTCAAATTATTTGATCCTTGCACAAATTAATACAGAAAATAATGAAGAAATGAAAAGAAGGGTTTTAAATTTATTAAATGAGCAACAACAAGTAATCAAAGTGCAACAATCACCTAATGTTGGGGCAGATTTGTTAGAGTCACCAACATCGTTATTATGCCCTCCATGCACCATACCTACGTTTAAATGTGTAGAGGTGAAGTTTTAGAGGAGATGAAAGGAGAATGAGACCTATAGTGGGAAGGAAACTCATTTTTGTGGATAGGTAGGGGTTGGCTACAAAGCAGGAAACGAGCCGGACCGATTCCCGAAAATCGGGAATTCTCGACAATTTTTTGGGTCCGGATCCTGATTTCCCAAAATCGGGAATTTTATTTTTATGTCGGCTTGTTCCCTACTACAAAGCAGGAATGTGCTGGGTTGAGAAAGAAGTCAGGTTGGGTTTCGGATCGAGTTTCGAAATTTTCTTCGGATCGGGTCGGGTGGGTGACAGAGCTGGTTAAGCGACGACCCACTTGTATTTACTCATTATAAGGTACGATTTTTCATCCCCTAGGGTATAATATTGGATCCCACTGCAAAGAAAATACATTCTTACCCCGAAGGTTCCCAAAAAAAATTTTAAATTTTAACAGCCACAACCACTGGTACTTCCAATAAATTGCCCATTGCCCCAGGTAAGTAAAATACGAAAAAAATTTTTAAATAAAAGTTAAGAGGCCAATTATCCCACCACCACCTCCAAGAATTCCATGCCCTCCTCCAACTGTATGCCCTCCTCCCCAGCCATGCCCAGCTTCTCCTACGTGCCCGAGACCAGGTAAATTTAATTTTTAAAAATTTTTAAGAATATTTCCAGCCCCATGTCCACTACCACCACCTCCAAGACGACCTCCTCCACCTCCTCCTATGCCTTTTCCTTTGCCAATTCCTCCCAAAATTATTTGCCCTCCTCGTGGAAATATTTTTGCAACTAGTATAAGTGCACAGGTTGGTTAAATTGACAAAAAATAAAAATATGTCGAACCTCACTATAAGATAAACCACCCCCCATATATCTCGGGGGTAAAAAATCTAATAATGAGGTCATATTAAATAAGGGGTATAGCTTGAGGTGCCCCTCATCAATCAACTTAACCCAATATTTTAAGAAATGTATCTTAAATAGTTGTACGTCTATTATTGGGGGTATATTAGAGATGTGCGAGACCGAAATTTTTCCAAGACTCAAGACTCAAGACCCAAGACAAAAATTTTTCCAAGATCAAGACTCAAGACCAAGACCAAAACTCCAAGACTCAAGACCAAAAATAATACAAAACTCGAGACAATTTTTAGGTGCCATAGGTCAAATTTTTGGTTTATTTTTTGTTATTTTGACACGATCACAGTCAACTTCAGCACAATCACCTATAATTTCGAGAAATCTATGCGAAATTCAAAGAATTTATCCGAAATTCAAAGAATTTTGGTGAATTTATCCGGGTGGAATATCAATGAGATATATTATTTAAGAGGATTTGGGTGGATTATTTAGTCAAGGGGGATATTAGCAGGCGAAAATTTCGAAAATGTTGGAAGGCTAAGAAGCCAGAATTCTTCCTTTTCTAGCGCCGCAGGCGTGCCCCACCCAATGACCATCAAAATTTAAAAAACTTAGGGGGTCTTATACCACAATACAAGATAACCTCCTATTTAATGGTACATATACTAGAGTTGTTCCCCGTCCCCGAAAGTGAGGTTCGACTAAAAAATATAAACAAAATAGAATGATTGTTGCTGTAATTGCGGCATTCGCTCTTGTCTAGTTTTACCTAGCAACACACTAATGCAGAAAAGGTTGATAAAATAATTTTACCAAAGATAAAAATAAATTAAGGCATTTCCTTGCAACATTTGGTACTCGCACTCATTCTGGAGGCAACGATTTACCTTTCAATATATTTGATAATATTTTGGGGGATACAATAGCAAGCTTTATGAATGATAATGACAATGCAAAGTGTAATAGTGAAGTGTTAAGGAAAATTATTTTGGAGGTAAAATCGAACCCCGCTATAAGATGCCCTCAAATATAAGATACACCTCTATATAAAAGACGGTTTTTCAATTTGGTTACTGTGTGGGAGAGACGGGGTAGTTGACCCCTATTTATGATACTCGTCACTATAAGCATACCCCAATTTAAGGTACCCTCAATATAAGATACCCCTTATTTAAGGGACAGTTTTTTCAATTTGGTTAACTAGTGGGTGGGAGAGACTGGGTGGCTGACCCCCTATTTATGATACTCCTCAATATAAGCATACCCCGATTTAAGGTACCCTCAATATAAGATACACCTCTATCTAAGAGACGGTTTTTTTTAATTTGGTTGACTACTGTGTGGGAGAGGCTGGGTGGCTGACCCCCTATTTATGATACTCCACACTAAGCACCACACTATAAGCATACCCTGATTTAAGGCACGCTCAATATAAGATACACCTCTATTTAAGAGAAGGTTTTTTAAAATTTGGCTGACCTATGGGTTAGGGGATGAGGGGGAGTCCCTATTTGAGTGGGGGAGTCCCTATTTGAGTGGGGGAGTCCCTATTTAAGGGGGGTCCCTTTTAAGATACACCGCAGTAAGGTATGAAGGGTATCTTATAGCGAGATCCTACTGTTTATTTTTAAAAACAATCTAAAAATTAAAAAAATTTTTAGAATATTTCAACGGATCTTGAATTGTCAAAACGAAGGATACAAGCAATCGCAGAGCTCGCTATGGGCGATGAAGCGCGTGTTAATGTGGTAATTAAAAATATCAAGTCTAAGTACTCCTTTTAAGCTTTTCCTTAATTTTCTGATCAAGGACAGCCTATTCCCCCAAAACCCCAACCATCTACCACCAAATTTAAGCAGCTCAATTAATTTCTGAACTCATTATTTTAAAAATTCCCAATAAGAGATGGATTCAATGTTTAAAAGGAGTACACCAAAAAATTATTAGTTTTTCAATTAAACTCACGCACAATTAGGTATGTGGATCAGGCGAATTCACTTTTGTTGTACACGCAACACAATATTGCCAAGAAGGAAATGAGAGTGGCACCTGTTATGCATTTAGTTTTAATAAAAATTAGAAAAGAAAATATTTAAAAAATATTTGATAATAAAATCAAAGTGAAAATCAAATGTAATCACAGATTAAAAATTTTTTTTATTAAATATATAGAAATGAGATTAAAAAAATTTTTTGGAAAGTCTTTCCTTATTCATTCTTCAATTCAATGTTTTGTTTAACAAGGATTAGCAATGAATTTCATTTTATATACGTTGTTAGGAACTAAAATTTAAAATATTTATATAATGTAAATTTAATTAAAAATATAATATTAAGTATTTAAAAAAATTAATTCCAAGTTAAGATAAAGTGAATAATTTTAAGGAATTTAACACTCCATCTTAATTATTCGACTTTTTTTTCTTTTTGTGAAAAATATATAATTTTGGGCACATTCAGTATCCCGCCCCATCTTTATTCGAGTCTCAGATTAATTTTTTATAGTCTGAGACTCAACTAGGAATAGGGGGGCTACTACGGTACTTATGCGAGTATATTGATAATTAATATAGATACAATACATACGCAGGCAAAAAATACATTCCAGATAAATGCAATAACCATGATAACAAGAGCCGCATTCTGTAAAAATTTTAATTATTAAAAGCATAAATTTATCTAATTTTAACTTCTATGTAGTCCTATTTAAATTTTAAATACAAAACCCCTAACAAAGATAAGATGCTTATAAACCCAAGGAAACAGGGTAAAACTTCAGTCAGTCAGAACTGGGAATCGCTTAGCTAGTTGATTTTAACTGAGCTCTCTTCCTTTTTTGTATTAATTCAGCCTAGTGCTCGATCAAGCGGTATACCGAACCATTAATGCTACTTAGCTCTCATACTTATGTGAAAACCCGTCCACGTTTATTTCCTCATTCTTAAATAGGCCGGGCCCCTATTTAAATATGAGAACATAAAATTGGAATTTTATAAATTTCCCTATGACATTTATTAATATTATGTAATTGTAGGGATTAATCGATGCCCCGGTAGCTTAATAGTAGAGCACAAGTATTTGGTGAGCGAAGCGCCTAGAAATAGCCACGAGGAGGTCGCAGTTCTGCACGGTGGCTAAACTTAAACTCTCTCATAATCTCTAAAATTAAATGAGTAATGCAATATTTAATTTAAAGGTGCGACTTAAAATCAAAATTGAAAGCTGCTAAGCTTTATAGACAAGGATTTTTCATCTCAATAAAAAATAAGACTTTTTGATTTTAATAAAATTTACAGTTGTAAAATTTGAAGGGCCTGTAACAATTTGCGGAGCCCTATGCATAATTCGTGAGGCTCGAATTTCAGTATTATTTCGAAGAATTTGTGTTTGAAAATCAGTCTTATTCTGAAGAATCGGTGTTTGAAGATCAGTTTTATTATGTTGTGTTACTTCTCGAAGTTCCGTGTTACTCTGTCTAATTTGTGCTCGAAGTTCATTATTGCTCTGTAGAATACGTGCTTGAAGATCAGTCTTATTCTGTTGTATAACCGCTCGAAGTTCATTATTGCTTAGTTGAATTTCTGCACGTAATTCAGCTCTTAAAGTTTCTTTTAAATTGTTCACTTTTTCCATCATTTCGATTCTAAGACGCATAATTTCGTACAAACAGCGTGCCTCTACGGTTGGATCAACTTAAAGATGTTTATTAATTAAGTAAAATTTATTTATTAAGTAAATTTATTAAGTATTTATTTATTAAGTATCAAAAATTTCGAGGGATAGGATAAGGAATGGTCCCAGACCCAATGGACGTAGGCGCCAAAATGCTATAAATATAGGATAGTATTTTGGATGCCCATCATAAATAAGCTATAACACAAAAAATGTGAAAAATGGATTAGCCATTTGAAGACTTAATCCAAAAAATCAAAATATAATTTTAATAAAATGTCGACACAATAGCCCTTTATAATTTTGAGAAATGTTTATGACACCTAGAGAATCAGTATTTAAAAATATCATAATTTCTACCATAATGACCTCCTTGAGAGCCTCGCCAACGAATAGTTGCTTGTTGTTCCATAGGATCCAACAAACCAAAAATTGTTGTCACGCAACACAATATTGGCAGGAAGGAAATGAGAGTGGCACCTGTTATGCATTTAGTTTAATGAAAAGTTAAAAAATATTTAAAGGTATTTGATAATTAAATCAAGGTGAAAATCAAATGTAATTACAGTTAAAAAATATTTTAATTAAATTATAGACATGAGATTAAGAAAAAAAATTTTAAGTCTGTTTTTTATTCACTATTACAATTCATTTTTAGTTCTGTTTTTAATGTTTTGTCTAACAAGGAGTAGCCAAAGAAGAACTATAAATTTAAAGTATATTACTGTAATATAATTAAAAATTTAATATTATTTAAATAATTATTATTGTACATCATATTGTTAATTGACCCAATCACAAACTCCCCTCTGATTCTTTCTTTAATGCCGAGCCTTTTTTTAATAAGCCGAAAGAAATAACTAGGAAAGTAACATCCATTATTATAATAGCTCATGAAATGGCAGAAAAATAGAAATAATAAATGAAAAGATGGAACAATTTTTTAAAAGGTCAGAGCATTTATGATTAAAGATAATGGGTTTATTTACCAGTTTAATAAAGATGAAATTCTAAGAAAGGAATTGAGCATAGAATTAGAAGTGTGGAAACTATTACGGGGCGTGGCCCGGTTCGCCCGAAAAAGCCCAACCCGGCCCGAAAACGAGGCCACAACCTTAATCTGGAGTGTGTTCTCATTTGTCGAGTATGAGTTGTTTTTAATTTTAAGTAATTCTAATGATTTAAAAATTAGCTAGCTGAGGGACTGATCGAGTCTTTTCAGACTAAAATTTCGAACTGAACCGAGCCCCATTTTAATAAGAATAAAGATTAAATGAAGTAAATTTAGTGACAAAAAGAACAAAGCCAAAATAAAAAAGATTTTTTCAATAGATTTTTTGAATTTTAATTAAAAAAATTTATGGAAAAAATCATGTAATTGATTGAAAAAAAATTTTTTTTGGTAGCAGGCCAACTTACCGCGAGCCCCGCATAGCTATATCTTCGTTCAAAATCGTCGAATCCGGGACGCCCTGGTATTGAGACGAGCTGAATCGAGCCATACCAGAGCGTCCCGGAACCAGGGCGTCTGAACGAAGTTAGAGCTCTGCGATAAGTTGGGTTCGTGGTAAGTTGGGATGTACGCAAAATTTTTTGACGAAAATTTATGTTTTCGGACGTTAAAAAATATTTTCTACAATACTCTCGATATTATAACTAACTAAAAAAACAATTATGTATGTATAAAATACAAGTATATGTCGGCAGCCAAATTCAATTTCAGTCTAAATTCAATTTGGCCGGTCAAATATAATTCGACAGGCCAAATTGAATTTGGACAAGAATTGAATTTGGACGTCGCATATATGAGGGGAAACGTTTGATCCTAAGTCATGAAAAATTTTCGATACCGGCCTAATTTTTGTGTTTATGAATGGGGCATAACAGAAAAAATTATAGTGAGATCTGACTATAGTATTTTAAATATTGAAGACAAACTTAACAGATTTCTATAATTAAATAAGCAAGACAATTCAGTTTTGATATGTAAATAATATGAGAGAAGAAGGGTAGAAAAAAAATTTCGATTTTTAAAATTAAAATTTATTTTCGGCCAACTTCTTAGTAATAAGGAAAATAAAAACAAATAGATAACAAAACAATCTAAGACTATAACAAAACAATCTAAGATACTTGGTCACGAGTTTTGAAAAATTTTTGGTATTGGATAGTTAAAATTTATTATTATGGATAGTAAAAATTTATAAGTCATCTATACAAAAGACACCAATTACAATGTCATAAAAATCAAAAGTAAAGCTTATAAAAATACCAGTGTATATTAAAACAAAATACCTAACTAGGGCTCGGATTTTTAGGTTATAAATTATATTTTCTGCGAAATAGTCATGATGAATTAAGCTCAAAGCCGTTGTTATTTCGTAAAAATCTTATATTTACGTGGAGCAATTATCACCTATTTTGGCGTTTTGCAACCTAAAATAGGTTGTAACCTATTTAAGTGTTATTATGATTTTGCTGTTTTTGTCACCCATTTTAGCTTTTATTGCAATCTATTAAGGTAACTATTATTAAGTTTTTATGACCTACTAACAATCCGAGCCTTAATAATAATAACTTAAGTCATCTATAGTTGAGAATAAAATTTCAAAATAGTAAATATGTATATTTATTGAAAGACAAAAAATATCTTTATTTAAAATAAGCATTTTTGTATAGAGAGATTTTTCAAAAATAAAATAATAAAAATTAAAGAAATTTGAAATTTTTTATAAATTAAAATGAGAGATTTTTTAAAGGCACGTTTGAATTAAAATATAAGAGAATTTTCAAAATAAAACAATTTTGAATAACAATAAAATCAACAATCAATAAATAACACAAAACAAAACAAAGCCTTATTCTAAAGAAAATATTTCTAAATCTATGTAGATTAAGAGGATTCACAACCAAAATAAACCCCGTATCCAGATAAAAGAGAAGGGGCATACGAGTATAAAAAATTATAAAAACTGGGAAATGAGACAATTTGGAGATAAAACAAGAGATTTTTTAAAGGAAAGGAAAATTATTTGAATGGAAAAAAGTAAAGTCATATACTCAAAACTAAAGATTGAATCGAATGAACTAAACTTAAAAATTCAAAAATTTTTTTTAAAAATATTGTAAATTTAGAATAAGGCTCGTTAAAATAATTAAACATCAATAACACCCGCTTTAACATGACAAAAATTCAAAAAAATATTATTCAGGTTTCTTTGATTGAAAAATAGCAAAAAATATACCTGCCATAAATGCAATAACCGTAACGACTAAAGAAGCAACCTGTAAAAATTTTGTTAAAGGACGTATTTCTTAATAAATTTTGATTGGTGTGCGGACATATCGAACGGACATATCGGGATTGGGGTGACAAAAATAATTTTTTGCGTGTTTACGTTTGAACTAAAACATAAAAACTCTATTCCCAATAGGACAATATACTATCCAAGACCCAGTGGCTATAGGTTCCGAAATCAGTAGGGTTCGTACATTGAAATATCCCGTTATGTCCGTCCTGATATGTCTGCGTGCCTTTTGATTAAATTTATTTTAAAAGTAAAACACCGTCCTGGATTGGAGTCGTTTTGGCGCGGCCATAAAAATAAAGGCCCGCCGTTAAAGCGCGAGTAATTATGGCGCGGGCATAGGGTGCAAGAGCCGTTTTAGGTTGAGGTAAAATTTCCAAAGAAATAACAAAAAAAGAACTTCCCCCTATATAAATGTTTCAATATGGAGAATATTGTTCTAGAAACGTTGAATGCTATTCCAACGACAGGGCAAGTCAAACAACATTTTTCCAATATCGGAGGAAGTTGTTTCAGAGGAAAAGGTCAGAAAGTTGTCAAGAACGATGAAAGTTGTTCCGAAACGGGGGAAGTTGCTTAGAGAAGGACGGATGTTGTTCAAAAAAGGAGGTTGTCCCGAGAATTATGGAGGGGGAGGTTACTCATAATCACCTCCTATAGTTCGCATACAGTCGGTTGTTTCAAAAAATCCTAATCCCACAAAAGCTTATTATTATATGGGTTATAGACGCTGAAATACTGCCAATTTTCTAATTATCAGACTTAATCGAAAATTTTAAGCTAAGTTATCATAACAAATTTAATAAAAAATTAGTCTGTTAAGAGTGCAACTTAAACTTTACCGCTGTATAATTTGAGGAGCCCTGTTGAACAGCAGCACGCAGATCAGTATTATTTTGATGAAGTCGATTTTCAAGTGCTGTATTATTTTCATCAATCCGAGTTTGAAGATTATTTCTATTCTGTTCCATAGCTGCTCGAAGTTCTGTATTGCTCTGTTGTATAGCCGCTCGAAATTCAGCTCTCAAAGCTTCTTTTAAATTATTTTCTCTTTCCATCATTTCAATTCGAAGACGCATAATTTCGTTAAAACATCGTGCCTCCACAGTTGGATCAACTTAAAATTGTTTAATTATTAAATAAACTTAAAAGGACAGCATAAAATTTAAACAAAAAAAGTTAATTTTTTCCCGACCCTAAAAAATTCAGAATAAATGATGTTAAATAGAGATAGGCCTGGGTCTGGACCAAGGCCTGGATTTTCCTGGGCCTGGGTTTTTCCTGGACTACAGACCCAGGATCAGGCCCTGGTCAATAAATCGAACCCCAGAGTCCGGGAACAGGTCCAGGCTTTTTAAAAATTCCGATCTCTAGAGTTAACCATATCCTAAATGGAGTCCGGACTGGGAGGGCCACACGAGAATCGAGATCTAGAAAAATATCTATATCGATAACCGAGATTTTTGACCGAGATCCCTTCTCGGCCCGATCTCTAATCCTTTAAATAAAAAATCAAAATAAGATTTTAGTAATCGATAATTAAACTTGCCATAATTCCTACCATAATCAACTACTTGAGAACTTGGTCGACGAATAGCTAAATCTTCTTGTCGATTGGAATCACCGTTCGTCATTTTAAATAAATAAGTGCAAAAAAGAACAACCTTAAAAAATAAAATCAAATAATAATAGATAAAAAATGTCAAAAGTATCAAAAAACAAAATCTAAGCAAAAAACAGAGTCGCAAGTAGAGGTTGGCAGCGGACGGGACCCCGTAGAGGATTTTACGGGATCCAGTCATGGTCATGGAATCCCGGTTTTCCCGGGGATTCCAGTCATGGTCATCCCGGGATTCCAGTCATGGTCATGGAATCCCGGGTTTTCAGCGAAAAAGGGGATTCCCGCGGGATCCCGTCCCGATCAAAATTTTTAAACTTAACCCCGTTCCGGGATCAAGGGAATGCGAATTTACCGACCTCTAGTCGCAAGTCGCTTTGCGACAGAAAGATTTGGAAGGAAAGACAAAATCGCTAGCGACTTTTCTCTCCCCATTCCTTTATTATGTGCCTTTTCTGTCCTAAAAAAAGATACACCCCTGCGGGATGGCAGGGACCCCTGCGGGAAAATCGCAAAATTTTTCTGGCTAAATTCCAATTTTTTTGGCATGAGCGAATTCATTTTTTATAAAAATTGAAAAAAATTTTTTTACCAAAAAAGAGAATCCAAATTTGGAAAACAAAAAGTCAAATCAAAACAATAATCCAAACAAGTAAACGATACAATACCAACTGAAGGCCAAACACACAAAAATTGCAAAAAAAACTTTTTCTGGCTAAATTCAAATTAATAAATGTAAGAGTTTAAAACAGGGCTCTCATTCGTGCTTTATTTGAAAGTATTATACTTTGAAACCGACCTCCATACTTAAGAAATTGAATTTATACTTTATTGAAAGTATATACTTTAAAATCAACATTTTGGATTGAAAATGAAATTGGGGAAGGGATTGGGCAAAAAAGTGAATTTTTTTAGCCTTGGGCCTTCGAAATTATCAAAATTTTCGCCTGCGGCGCTGAAAAAGAAAGAAATCTGGCTTCTTGGGCTCCAAATTTCAAAAAATTTTCGCCTGCGGCGCTGAAAATGGGAGAAATCTGACTACTTGGGCTCCAAATTTCAAAAAATTTTCGCCTGCGGCGCTGAAAATGGACGAAAGCTTGAGGTTAAGACTGTCAGGGCTTTATTTCTTGTATCAGCGAATTTTGACATGTCATGCGTTGAAATGCACAAAATGCCCAATGGAAGCAAGAAATTATTAGAAAAGATTCATTTAAGAGAGAAATATAAAAGATTTGAGCACGAACAAATATTTTCCAATTTAATTTTGAGTATACTTTAAATTTGGAAATTTTCTCCCTATATACTTTTTTATCAAGATTTTGATACTTTTGAGTGGCATTTTGTCGATGAGAGCCCTGGTTTAAAAATTAAAAAGAAAAATAAACGACTGTTAAAAATCGTTAAAGTGAATTTAAAATTAAAAAAAAAATTTTTTTTTTAATTCAAAAATAGTTTTATTAAAAAATTTGAAAAATTAAAAAAAATTTTTTTTTGTTCATTTTCCAACTCTTTGAACATTCCATTCGGCCTGGCAAAGGGGACAGCGATTATTTTGTTTCACCCAAAGTGACATACAACCTGTAAAAAAATTTTTTTTGAATTTTCAAGAAAAATGGGAAGAATTTTCTGAATTTTTTAAATATTATTTTTCGAGAAAGTTTATAATAAGAAAGTGCCAAATTTCAAAAAAAAATCTTGAAAAATTTTTTCGAGATTTTTTTTTCATAAAAAAAATAAAAATTCTAAAAAAATCAAAAAAATTACTGAAATTTTAAAATTCAAAATATTCTAAAAATATCCAAAAAAAGATTATGGAACTTAAAAAAATCCAAGAAAAAAATTTAAAAATAAAAAATAAAAAATGTTCAATACTTTTCTGAATTTTTTGATAGATTTTCCACCATTTTATAATATTTAAAAAAAATCCAAAATACCCACACAAATGAAAACAATGATTACATTCTCCCCATATTACAACACATTCTTGTGCTTTAGATTCTGATTGACAACGAAGACAGGCCTCTAAAGGAAAAATATTTTTATAACAAAAATTTTGAATTTACATATTTTTGGTACTATCGCATCAGGGCCCAAACCTGTTTCGAATTCCAGTGAAAAAAGCCCGGCCCGATTTATAAAAAAATTAAAAAATGGGCCAGTCGCAACTTCGACATGGATGTGTGTGCGACCTAATTAAGGTTGCAGCTTTCGGCCCGTTCGAGTCATTTCCGGGCCAAAATTCGAACAGAACCGGGCCCCCAACCCTACCAATAATGCGATAGTACCTCTCACTTATAAATTACCCATTAAATGAACTCGACAAATTGCACAAGTGTCACATTCTACATCCCATGCCCATGTAGCTATTAAATTCCATCGTTTTAAAGTAAACGGTTTTTTGGGTTGTTGACTGGTTTTATTGGAAGATGATGAGGATTTTGATTCTTCCGTAATTTCCATTTTTTGTTTAAAAAATTAATTTTTAAAAGGAAAATTTAAAAAAGAGAATTTAAATGTATGTCCAGTCGAACCTCGTTTTTAGACACCTCCCACTCCCTTTGTAACAGAAATCTATCTTATAATGGGGGACTTTGAAGTGAGTTGGTAGTGGGAGAGGAGCCCCCTCCTCAAAACCCAATCCTCCCACTAAATGGCCAAAAAAACTTTAAAAAGCGTATATTCGAGGTGTATCTTATATCGAAAGCTTTCTTTTAAAGCTACTTCCTTTGGAATAGAAAATGTATTTTATAATGAGGGGCACTTTAAAGTTAAAGTAAACCACCACCACCCCTAATAACATCATAAATTAAGGTCATTTTTGGTTAACACTTTGGGCATACGGTGTAACATTTAAGTCCATACACCCACACCTATTGACTGGCCAAATAAATTTCAAAAAGTGTATCTTGAAATAGAGGTGAATCCTAGTATCGACATTCGACTGTATTAAGCAATGAAAATAAATGCATTTTAAATAACAAAAATTAACGAAATTTTATTCTTGGAAAGGAGAAGCTCAACAAAGAAAAATTTAAAAAAAAATCAGATCATTTTTAAAAGCAAAAAATAACCGGTGATTTTAATTATTATTTAATTAACACCTGATTTAGGGAAGATTAAGAAAGAAAAAAATAATTTTTGAAGTGGTCTGGAACTTGGATATTATTTTTTAAATTGTTCAAAAAATTTTCAAAATATTTTTTGAATTTTTAAGAATATTTCAAAATTTTATTTCCAAAAAATTCAGAACGTTAGTCCAGACCAAAATACACAGAAAAATAAATGCACTAGGATAGGGTTGTCGGGTTTACCGAATTCTTATTTAAATGCAAAAAGAAGCGAAAGAATGAACTAAAAGATTTTTTGATCGTCCAGGTCGAGCTCCGTTCCCTCTAGAGGAGGGAGGAATTCTCCTTCATTCAAGAGTAAGCTTTCATGGGTTCCTTCGCCCTCACTCCCCCCAAGCATTAATTCCCATGAAATCAATCCACGTTCCGAAATATCGAAAAATAGTTGAACACGACAACCCTGGCCAAGGAAAATTTTAGAAAATAAATTTCAAGACGAAAAAACGAAAAAAAGATAAAACAATAAGAGTCAAAAAGGAGAAGAATTTACCTTCCTATTTTCAAAAAAAATACAATCATTCATTAATTCGAATTTTTAATCCAAAAATTTACAAAATTAAGTGCCCAAAAATTTTTTTAAAAATATAACGATTGTATTTTTTAAGAAAGCTCTTTTTAAAAAATTAATTTCTTAATTAAAGAAGGTAAAAAGCCTAACAATTACAACTAATTAGAAAAAATACCACCTTATTTCTGCATCAAATCAATAACAGCATCAACAATGTCTGTACTGTGACATGAACCCTATAATAATAAAAAATGCGAATTATAAATGAGAAAAAAATTATAAAATGGAAAGGAACAGGACAAAATTTTCAAGAGTTTGAACAAAATTAAATAATCGGTGGGGCTTATTATCGCAGTTTGGGCCGACACGTGGAACAAACAAATCATGGAATATTTTAAAAATCAGAATTTTTCAGATTTTTTTTTAAATTCCGTTTTTTAAACTATTTTAATTGTTAGAATTCTTATTTTTTAAAAATATTCAGATTTTTCACAAAATTCCGATATGCCATGATTTGGTCTCGTTCCTTGACCTGTCTGTTCCTTGAGTTGGTATTACTTGAGTTAGCCCCCACCCATTTTAAAGATACAAAATAAACAAATTCTTGAGAATATTTTCAGAGAATAAAAAAAATAGACTTGCGGATAAAAAAAAGATTTGCGGATTATTTAAAAAATATAACTGAAAAGGACCCCGAAAATTTAGCCCCATAGAAAAAATAAAGAAAAAACAAACTCCAATATCCGGTGTGTGTAATTTCCGTTCAGTTAGAGCAATAAAAAGAGCATCAGACATTTTATCGGCATAACTATCCAACTTTAAAAAAATTTTTTTTAATTAAAAAATAAAAAAAAATAAACCCCCAAATAACGAAGCATATCAATTGCTGCACGAATAAAAGCTGTTGGATTAGCCAAATCTTTTCCAGTTAAAGAGGTGCCTGTATTTCTAGTTCCCTAAATTTTGTAAAGAAAAAAATAAAAATTTTTTTAATTATCTAAGATAAAATAATAAAAATTGCGGACAGTTTTTGCGGACATTATTTGCGGATGAAAGAAATGCGGACATTTTATTAAAAAGCGGATAAAAATTTGCGGACGTATTTTGCGGACTTTTACTATCTCTCTCGTGCTTTTAGGCCAAAATTCTCTTCCTATTTAACAATCTAACAAGGAAACATCCCGAACTGTAAGAAAAAATTTCGAAAAAATTTTTTCGCACCATCGTGTAGAGCAGGGTCGATATCCTGTTGGTCATTTCTGGCTTTTTCTCTCTGACCCCCAAATCAAAAAGTTATAGCTGATCAAAGTTTCAGTAGTTTATCGACCCTGCTTTACACGATGGTGCAAAAATTTTTTTCAAATTTTTACATACAGTTCGGGATGTTCCCCTGTAAAGTAAAACCTATAGATTTTCTTAAAGCTAAAGGTGAACCAAGAAAGAAAATATGGAAGGAAATATCTGCAAAAATATTTGCAGAAACCCGAGAATCAACTAGCTACTAGAATTATTGTTGTTAGCGTCGCGATTAGCGTCGCCAGGGTGTCGAACAATAAAAAAAACGTATGCGAAAATTTTGAAGGTCGCAAGCGAAAAAATGTCATTTTTCCTATCATCTTTCTCCCAATATTTTTCCTATTCCCCATTTTAAGAGGGGAGAGCATAGCCCCAAAAGCTCCCTGGCTACACCCATTAATTTTTATAACCCCACCCAAATCATTTAAAAATCCACACCACTCAAAAATTCCAAATCCCCAAGGAACTAAACAAAAAAATTAATTTTTCCAAACCGTTTCAAACACAGCATATTCTTCTCCAATATTCATTCCAGGAACAAGTCCAGGGCCTCCTACCAATCCACAAGCAATATTTGAAATTATATTTCCATATAAATTAGGCATAAGTAAAATTGCGTTGTTAAATTGTTGTGGACGGCTAACCAATTGCATACAAGCATTATCAACTTGAAAAATTTAATTTTAATTTTTACAGGAAATTGAAAAGCTTAAACTTTATGAAAGCCTCCTTTTAATTTTTCCCAAAAAATTTTTTTCCTTCCCAAAACGAAATTTAATCGTAAATTCGATAAAACAAACAACTCAAAGGTATTCAAGTGACAATCTGATTTGTAACTAGAATCGAACAGGTCCCGGCCCTATTTTTCTCAATTGACCCAGGCTCTGGGTATAATCCAGAGATTACAAAAATAAATTCAAATTTGGGTCTGGAACCTGGAAAATACCTCCCAATCAGGCAAATCGATAAACAGATTGCTAACAGGACAAAGTAAAAGATTGAAAAAATTTATTTAACCCAATCCCATCAAAAATTCCCATCATGAACACAAGCAAGGGGGAATGGGTAAATGAACTCAGAACCAGACTTGCTCATGGATACGGATACAGATAATATCAAAAGGCTTGCGGATATCCGTCTGTATCCGCCGTAAATATGCGGATACCAAAATCAGTATCCGTGGGCAGGTCTGCTCGGAACTTTTCGACTCGAAATTCGACCTTTTTCTCTCAAACCGGCCCATCCGTGATCCGAAATTTGAAAAATTGACTCCGGCACATTCCTAGTTCCCTGACCCAAAATACTGAAACAATTAGTTTTCAAAGGCACGAACGAAAATTTGGGAAGAAATAAAAAAAGAGGGTAAAATAAAGTCCAAAAATTAAAGAAAAACAAAACCTATAAGCGAATCAAAACGCAATCCTTTCGATTTATATTCAGTATCACAAATTTCTTTAGCCACTTTCAAAAATAAACCGTCCCCCAATTTTTGAATGTTTGCCTTGTGTATAACGATAATATTTGGTCGATTATTCAAAACAGCATAATCATAAGCATAACGAGCGATTCTTTCAATTCCATGGCGTGTCACAATCTTTAAATTTAAGAAAAAAAAGAAAATTTTAAAAGAGATGACATTTTGTCCCGTAATGGTTCCCTTCGGTCTAAGGATTTTAATCGGGGATTGGGGGATTAGGCGGGGTGAGAAAGAAGTTAAGTCGGAGTTAGGGTCCGATTTTTCAATTATTTTTTTTCGGATAGGGGTTGAGATCGAAAAAAGTCCAAATTTTGTGTATCAAACATTACTTTTGGGTTTTGTAACATTGCCAGGAATAGAAAGAAATGGGTCCCAAAATTACAAGTTGGCTTATTGATAGCTCTGTTGGCATGTTAATCGTCTAGAAAAATTCAAAGGATTCAAAGATAGGAAGTGAAAAGGTTACCCAGAAACTGTTAACAAAAAATTTTTTTCGTACCGAAAAAAGATCTAAAGAAATCTTAAACCCCGTCCCTTCCCTAATCCACTGGAAAGCAAAGAAAGGACCAACAAAAGCCATCTAATGGTGACAGAACATGGTAGGTTTCTAGCCCAGATAATGTTGCATAATCCAAAAGCACCTACCAAACTCATGAAAGAATAAAAGTCAAAATAGAAGGGAGTCAAAGAATTACCAAAGGAAAAATTGAAAATAAATAAAAGTAGGGGGCCCTAAAGTTGAAAAGTTCCCCCAACGGACCACAAAAATTCAAAAAGGCCCCAAAACTAGGGTTGTTGGCGACCGGTTATTAACCGGTACCCCCGGTTTTCGGTTAATCTAAATTTTAGAAACCCGGTTTTCGGTTTTGAGTTTTAGGCAAATACCGGTTTATTTTTGGGGGAATTTCAAATAAAATCACTAATTTTCACAAATTTCCGGTTTTCGGTTTTTAAAATTTTCTAAAAACGGTTAATTTTTGGCAAAAAATTTCAAAAATTCCGGTTTTAAAACCGGTCGCCAACAACCCTACCCAAAACCTTTAAAACCCTCCAAACCCCCCAATAATTCAAAAAAACCTTCAAACTCTCAACAATTCCATTCACCGATTCATGTTCAAGTCCACTATATTCCCCTTCAGTATTTTCTCGAATCAAAACCAAATCAAGATTTTTATGACGCGAATGAATGGTTGGGACAGAAACACAATGAAGAACATTGGCATATCTTAAAAAAAATTTTTTGAAAATTTTTTTTTCTTACAAATCAAGACGACGTCGAAGTTCCATATTTCTCGATTTAAAATCTGGATTGTCAAATTTTGTTTCAATATTTCCCTAAAAATTTAGAGTGAATAAAAATTTAATACAAAAGGACCTCACTCACACGGGAAGGTTGCGAGGTGTCCGAGCTAAAAACGATCGAGACCGGGCTCATTCGATAGAAAATGTGCCCTTTCTAGCAAGGATTTTGTGCCGTTTTTGCCCTTTTTTGATCTGGCCAAGATATGACCTTCCAAAGTCCTTGCTAGAAAGAGCACATTCTCTATCGAACGAGCCCGTCTCGACCGTTCTTAGCTCGGACACCTCGCTTCCCGTGTTAAGTAGAATACTCGTTTGAATGCGGAAATACCTTATAAGGTCGTTCCCAGTAGGGGGAGGGGGTCACGAAAACTGTCAGTTTTTAGAGGAGACGGGTCCCCAACATTTCCAGTTAAGTAAAAACAGAAACTGTTGACGTGCGGATATAACTTGCGGACTTTTATAGTCCTCAAGTTTTCCAATTATTAGAAATAGCCCGTGAACTTGCGGACAAAATATGCGGATTAACTATCATCGAAAAGTGATCAACCCACCAATGTCTTTAACTAAATAATATAAAAAGAAGAAACCTTCAAAGCCGCCCCAGTTTTATGTATTGCATTAACCACTTTTTCCAATTCCTCATCTAGTGGATCTTTCGAATTTAATTCAACATCGTTAAAATCAACAGGAATGTTTGAGGAAGAAAATATACGTTTAACATGAGCAAGCATCTTTAAAAAAAGAGAAAAAGGTTATTGAAACGGAGGTAGGTTTCGTATAAAACTTGCGGATTTCAGGGATGTTAAGAATTAAAAAAAGTATGAGAGGGTTAAGGGTTAGGATAGTCCGCAAACATTAGTCCGCAAACATTAGTCCGTAAAAAATTATAATTTTGCGGACTATAGGAGCGGGTTAAGGGTCAGGATCGGACTACTGACCCACAATCACGGTTCCTATGACATTTTTTGCCGATTTCACCTCCCTCTGCGGATTTGCGGACTATTTTTGAGACGGACTATTCTTTGCGGACTATTGTAATTTTTGCGGACTATTCTTGAGACAATGCAACTAGAAGGGTTCAAGAACTCCGAACGGTTTCCAGAACCGATAGATCCCCCGAACCGATACCAATGCAGATTTTCCCTACTTGCGGACTATTTTCGATAATGCGGACATTCTATAGATTTGCAAAAATTATCTATAGATTCGCGGACTGTTCTTGAACCCGAAACTCTAGAAGGGTTCCCAGAACCCAAAATGTCTTGGAAATCGAGAAAGACAACCCGAATCCGATAAGCAGTTAATCCTCAACAAAATAAACCAGGGAAAATCCGCAAAAATTCAAGTTCGCCCCCCTCCTCTTTCTTTCCTTAAAGAATTAAAAAATGGGCAATAAGTCTCAGGCTATAGGTCCTAGGCTATAGAACTCGTCGATCTGTAGCAAATGTCACCAAAATCAACCCCCTCACTTTGAGGAAGGAAAAAGGAGGGGGCTAACTTGAATTTTACCAAAATCCGCAAAAATTTAAAAAATTTGTTTAACCTCAGGTCCAATTCCATCGCCTGGCAGCGCTGTCACAGTGTAACGATTATTGCTTTTGGAGAGAATAACCTTTAAATTTTAATTTAATTTTGAGAAATTTAAATTTAAACCTCGTCGTTCAATTTGGTTTTAGGCAAAATATGGGGAGTCAGAGCAGACTTGAAACGACAAAAATCTAATAAAGTTGTACGGGACTGTCGAACAATTGAAGTTGGAGAGAACATTTTAAAGCTAGAAAAAAGAAAAAAAAATTTGCGGTTGTGAGGATTGAGTGTTTAGCTCGCGTTTGCAGACTATTCTGATTTTTAGGGGTACAGTCCGGCGCGCGGCCATAACGGCGCCTAGCCATAACTTGCTTCAAGATTTCCGAATCTTGGCAAATTTAGTATTAATCGATTCCTCTCATCGAGCTGAAGAGATTGGTACCAAAATTGATAAGGTACAGAAATTTTTCAGCAGGTTATGGCTTTGCGCCGTTATGGGCGCGCGCCTAATTGGGCGTGTCCCTGATTCTGCGGACCTTTTTATGCTTTTGCAAACATAAAAATATAAATCGATAAATGAAAAGCGTATAGTATAAAATGCAAAATAGAAATGGTCTGACCCAACAGAAAAGATAAGGAACACAAGTAAATAATTCTCAAGTTCAGTTTGAACAAAATCATCAATTACTTAGACCGAGCGAATTTTGACTTTTTAAACTAAACTACTAATGACGGATTTAAATAATTATTAAATCATTAGAAAGCTTTGGATTTGAGGATTATTTTAGCCAACAGAACTAATTTGACCAGATTATCTCAGAAAAAGTTATAGCCAAATAAGCATTAAAAATCACGATTACTCGCACTTATCCGGTTATAATTTTTTCTAGGATTATCTGATCAAGTCATTCCTGTCAGCTAAAATAATCCTCACATTCAGAGCTTTCGAATGATATAAAATTATTCAAATTGGTTAAGATTCAAAAAAGTTATGCCCCAAAATAGGGCCTCAAGACTGGATACTGAAACGTCCCCCAAAATAAAAAAGGCCATTTAATCGCAAGCCATTTAGCCGCGAATTTAGACGATATTCGTCACTGTTTTAGGGGTACAGTCCGGCGCACGGCCATAACGGCGCTTAGCCATAACTTGCTTCAAGTTTTCCGAATCTTACCAAATTTAGTATTAAACGATTCCTCTCATCGAGCTAAAGAGATTGGTACCAAAATTGATAGGAACCAGAAATTTTCCAGCAGGTTATGGCTCTGCGCCGTTATGGCCGCGCGCCTAACTGGGGGTGTCTATGTTTTTAGTAAAACTTGTAAAATTTTACTAAACTCAAGGATAGCCTAAATTTTATTAATTAAATAACAACTCTTTCCCCTTTATTTTTCCAGAAAAAATAAAAAAATGAAACCGGGAGATTTGTATTTACTCGCCTACAATATTTTACAATTTTTTGGGTAAATTTTAAAAAATTAGAAAAATTCAAAAATTTTTTTCTTTCTTCAAGTTTGGGTTCTATTCTATTAAAAACTGTCCGCGGTTTAATGTCCAATTTGACTTTTCCTGAATTGTATGATTCTGTTGAGTTGGAATTGAAAATATTTCAAACTGCTGCTATTCTGGAAGTTTGTTTAATAAAAAAAATATTTAAAAAATTTGGCGCTGGTATAGTTTACGCGTCCAATCAACAAAATTTTATTTTTCGTGGTGTTGCAAAGTTGGGGTATTCCAAAACATTTTGTCATGTGGACCTACGCCCACTGTGTTTAGGACCGTTCCTTTCCCTAGCCCTCGAAATTTCTGAAATTTATAGCTAATCTTTAAAATTTCAGAAATTTTGACGGATAGGGTAAGGAGCGGTCCCAGACCCAGTGGGCGTAGGTCCCGAACATGAAGAAATGTTTTGGACCCATACCCCTACATTGCAATACTAAGAAAAATCCAATTTTTTGTTGATTGGACGCGTAAACTAGGCCAGCGCCAAAAAAATTTTTTTAAATTTCTTGGGAGGGATATGGTCGAACCTCATTTTTTAGTCACTCAACATTAAATACACCCCCTATTTGACGTACATTATTCCAAATTTGGTGCTTAGGGACTGGGGCGGCTTAACGTTGCTTAACGACGTCTTAATGGCGGGGTCGTTTTAACGTTGGCGTTGTTTTGGCGCGAGCCTTTATAACATTACTAATCGATATCTATAAAGATCAAATTTTGCAATAGCAATTCTCTTATACCAAACTAAGTTCTCCAAAAAATTTCAGACTTTTTGTTCTAGAATTTCAGAAATTATGCCCAGCAATTTCTATTAACTACCCTGAAATGCCTTATTTTTCTAAGTCTATCGACTGTAACTTATAAAATATTTGTTAATAAATTCTGAAATTTCTGGAGAAGTTAGACAAGGATGTTAAGAAAATTTTGAGAAAATTACCAAGAATTTGGGTTTCAGTTAAATGTTGGTTTTGAGTCGCGCGCCAAAACAGTAATGCGCCAAAACGGCTCAAAAGGTATAATTCTAGTCCAAAAATTCGAAATTTAACCTCATTTTTTGGACATAGTGAGGCTCGACTATTGAGCAAAAAAATAAACAAAAATAATTTTTACCTTAAGATTTTTCATTGTATTTTTCGCCTTGTTCGATCCCCTGTTGGTACAACCACTACACAAGTAAAAAAAATTTTTTTTAATCTAAAAAAAATTTTTTCACCACAAAAAGGTCTTTTCTCGAGTAACAGTTGTTTGGATGATTCTTTACAAAGTGGCCTCGGTAATTAAAAAAATTTGAAAAAATTAAAAAAAAATTTGGAACTTGTTTACTTTAACTACCCACCCCATAAATGTTACCGGGACATTTTAGAGTTCGATTCAGCTTAACGAGCCGAATGACATCAATGATTTTGACTAAAATTATGGGCAACGCTGACGCCCATCACTGACGCACAGATTTGCTTTGACCATTTTGAGTCCCTTTGTCTGGGTTGAGACTTAAGGGCGAGGGCTGATTTTGATGTCATTCGATTAAGATCGTTGAGCTCTTTCAATAGACATATAAAATTAAGGATAATTCACATAGAGCATTTGAAGTGTTTAGGCGGGGGTTAAACGATCTAAAAGAATAAAAGAGAAAGCATTAGTCGATGCCCCGGTAGCTCGTTGGTGGAGCTCCTATATGTGGTGAGCGAAAGCGCCTAGCAGTAACTAGCAGGTGGTCGCAGGTTCAATCCTGCCCGTTGGCTAATTTGCAAACGCTTCCTTAAATTGCCAAAATTGAAAATTTTGGGTGGGTAGTTAAAGTAAACAACCTCCAAAAAATATTTTTTTACTCAGTCTCGCGTTAGTATTGGTGTTCCAATGTTGTTAATTGCGTGGTCGATTACTGAAGTTATTAGATATTCGTTTTATGCTTTGAATTTGATTAATGCTGTTCCAAGCGTTCTTATTTGGATGCGGTAAATTTTTAAAAAAATTAAAAAAGTTTATATACTGCCTATTTTGGGGAGGAAATGTCTCAACTAGAGGCTATATTTTGGGCCATAACTTTTTTTATTCTTAACCGATTTGAGTAATTTTTATACCAATCGAAAGCTCTGTATGTGAGGATTATTTTATATAACAGGATTGATTTGATCAGATCTTACTGCGAAAAGTTAAAGACGGATAAGTATCAAAAATCACGATTGCACACATTCTTCCGGTTATAACTTTTTTAAGAACGATCTGATCAAATTAATTCTGCTAGATAAAATATTATAATTAAATCATCGAGAACTTTTATGGATATAATTATTTAAATAGGTTAATGACCAATAAAGTTATGGTCAAAATATGACCTACCGTATTTACTCGATCAATTCCCCTCCTTCGAATAATTCCCCTCTCTCGAATAATTTCCCCTGCTACGGATGAGTTGAAATAATAATCCCCTCCCCCAAATACCCTAAAACACGTTCAAATTTTAAAACTCGAATAATTCCCCTCCCTTGAATAATTCCCCATGCCATGGATGGATTGAAAAAATAATTCCCCAGGAAAATTAATCGAGTAAATACGGTATGTATTACCTCGAGGCTGAGACGAGCTTTAGAGGTTTTTTGATTTCTGGTGGATATTCCAAATCAGAGCTGGGCTTATTTCGCACTTTCGCAAAAATAAAAATCGCATTTCGCTTTTTATTTTTTCATTGCGCCCAGCCCTGTTCCAAATCCAAACAATTTGACCGAGTTATTATTATTGGGTGGGGTGGGGGGTTACCTTTTATTGGAGTACAATTTTAGTATGTGTATTTCAAACTTCCTTCCCCTCTAGTGGCTAACTAGATTAAGAAATAATTTTTAAATATTAATTTTTAAAGCTATACATTCTTCATTTTGCTTTACCCATTGGGTGCTGGAGGTGAATTATTGACCATGTTTGCAGCTTTACCAGAAATTGGTGAACGCAAGCATTTTACAATAGAAATGCCAAATGTTGCCAATTTTGCTTTTCATTTTTATTGGGCAGTTATTTTGTTGGCTTTGACTTATATTCCGTTGTTTCCACAGTTGTATGAGTGAGGGAAATTTTGAAAATTTTTTTTACGAAAGGGTCGTTTTGGTGGCAGGAAAAATCTTTATGGTAGCTCAACTGAGTCATGAATCCAATAACTTATGGAAGGCATGATCACTTCTTTATTTTTTTTGGTATCTTGAGATAGAGCATCAAATACTCTACATAATACCAAAAATCGAAATTTTCATTGGTTAATAAACAGATATGATCGATAAGGTACCGAGAAATCACATTTTTGAAAAAGTTTTTGATTATAACTTTTTTAAAATCAATCTGGAATATTTTTAATGCTCTATCCATTGGTACCAAGAACATTACCGGAGTTCCAAAATCCGCAGGTCAAAAATTAGCGACAAAAATTCTATCAATGTGTTGAACAAGGGTGCTGTGGAACAACGTTACCGAAGCCTTCTTAGAAACTAACACAACTTCCTCCGTTCTTGCAACACTCTTTCCTGTTGTCGAAACAAATTCCCTGTCCCCGCATCAACATGACCCGTCGTTGGAACAACTTCGCTAGTCGACGGATTATCTTCCCCCGCCGTTGGAACAACTTCCCCCGTTCCTTCCCCACTTCTGAAAAAATTATCAGCGGTAACTTGGACGTGCGGTACCTTGGGTGTACCCGTTTCTGACCTAATTGACAATAAATCGATGCCACCAAAACGCCCTTTTATAATCTTAAATTTTAATTTTCACATTTCTAGCTATATGTTTGTTCAAAGGAAAAAAGTTCTTGGTGGTACTGACAAAAAATCAGAAAAGAAGGCTCAATAAAAAATTTATTAGATTTATTTATTTTAAGAAAATTTAATAGTGGTGCTAGTTTTGAGATAGTTGTCATTAAAATAAACATTAAATCATTAATAAAAATTACTTATATAAAAAAGTTAATTTTTAATATAAAAAATATCTTTTTACATTTACTTGGAAAACTAGGTAATATTGAACCGGACGGACAACCTTTTTTCCTCCCCAATTTTCCCTCTATAATTTTCCTCCGTCTACTAGTTTTTGGCATGTAATTGCATTTGTATAAAATTAAATAATCGTTTTGTTTGATTGTAGACAAAAATTCGAAAGGCAATTTGGATGGAAGGAAGAAAGGAAATTGTATGACCATTTTGCATAAATATAGGGGGAAAATAGGGGATGAAAAAGGGCTTCTGTCCTGTTCAATATTAACGAAAAAAGTCATGAGATATATAAAGTTTAAGAAACTATTGTTATATCTTTATATATTGTTATATTGTTCAGAATATTTTTATTTAAAAAATCCTCTTTTTTACTTCTTCAAATTTATTTTGATTCTGAAGACCGGGCGCATTCCATCTGCGCATTATGTAGTACTCAGTAGCTAATGATGGAACTTCTTCGAAGGTTAGATACAATGATGGTGACCTCATTTCAATTATTCCAAAATATGCTTTTGTTGCGAGGTTTTCAAAAATGAAATTAGAATCAATGGCATTCTCCTCAAGATATTCTGTCAAGATTTGAATAGAAGTCATTCTGTTGGGTTTATTTTCATTTGGATAAGAAAGGTGCAGCCAAGCCATTCTGACTGACCCTGTAAATAATAAGTTTTATATTAAAGACAAATAAGGGCGGAATCTTCTTAAATCAAGTTTATAATGCCTAATATCCGCTTTTATACCAAGAAAGGACTTCTGGGGTCTATTTTATAATTAAATTGTACCTAATCTTGAGTCATCGCAAGGGACATCAACAAAAGTTGTTATTTCTTGATTACTGTTCTTTTGAAGTTATGCTGTTCTTTTGAAGTTATGCTGTTCTTTTGATGGTACTGTTCTTTTGAAGTTATGCGGCTTATGGTTAATAAATTTTTCTTCAACCATAGATATATTCTCAAGAATCATCTTAGAATCCATATCTCCAGAGATAATAACAAACTTTAAAGTTTAATTTTAGAAATTCAAAAAATAGAAATTTAAATTATTTATAAAAAATAAAAAACGATCGTTATATCTTCATATATTGTTATACTTTTTAGAATATTTCTATTAGAAAATTTGTAACCCAAAATTTGCTAGTTTTAAAATTCGATTTATTATAGTAGGGATTCTTTGATTGTGAGGATTCTTTGACTCATAGAAAATCTCAATATTTTAAAAAATATTAATCTTTAATTATATTAATTTGTAAAAAATCCTACAAGATTATCTAAATGGTAGAATCGTTTATGGAAGCTGATAATCTTTTCCAAATTACATCCACGTCGTATTTCAGACATTAAACCACCAGTATTGTAGGAGTAAATTGAATTTCCGCCATATAATAATTTTTAGTTGTATTGTTGAGAATTCTATTTACATTTCTCTCTACTCCTGTCATTTCACTATATAACACTCCAATATCGATTCCTTCGCCATCTATGGAATGCACTTCTGTTTTGTAATTGTTAAACCAAATTATTTCATTATTTATTTATTTCACTAGTCAGTTTGCTTAATAATTTTTATAATGTCAATTATTTCATTATTTATTTATTTCACTAGTCAGTTTGCTTAATAATTTTTATAATGTCAATTATTTAATTAATAATTTTTTTTAAATTTATTTTTCCTAAGTAAAATTTATCTATAGTTACTTATAATAAACATTATTTAAAATTTATATTGACCATTCCGACATTAATAATATGAAAGGATATAAAAGATTATGACATATTAAATATTGAATAATAAAAACCTCAAGCCTCTGTAACATTAGATGTTCAAAAAATAAATTAAAAGCATTTAGAAATCCTTTCAAGTTGGAGCAATCAAAATAATATGACGTGCTATCTTGAGAAGTTGTAGCATTTGTATCAACAACAAAGTCTTCAAAAATAAAAATTTTAAATTAAACATTTTTTTAGAATATTTTTAACATCCATGAATATTTTTAATATTAAAACAAACTGAGATTGCAAGCAATGTCTAGGAGACCTCTTCCATTATAAAGTCCACACCTTGAGAAAATGCAATGTTCTAACATATGTGGTATGCCAGAATCGTCTAAGGCCTCGGTTGCTTAAAATTATTATTTAAATATATGTAAAATCAATTTAAAAAATCGTTGTATAATGTTGCAACATACCAAAATTAAAATTTGCCCTGAATATGGGCCCTTGACACTTAGTTACAGCGACAGTGAGGCCTGACCTGCTCGATTTGTAGATATTTATTTTCTTGTTGTAAACCTCAACAGAAGTAATTTCATTCCACATTTCTATTAAGAACTTCCACTAACACAACTCAATTTTTTATAAGACGATACATCATGAAATTTAGCTATAACTTATCAATATTCTAGCTCAATTAATTCCATATTTATAGAAGAGCAAAGATTGCTTTCAACAAAATTTTTATAAAATGGTGACTCATAACTGTTGCACATATAATCAATTAATATGCTTGTAGCTAAATTTTATAGATATTGCATATACGTGTCGTCCACGCAATTTCAACAAATCCGTAAAATTAATTTAACTAATAAATTAAAATTTTTGTTAGTCTACTTTCATGTTAAGTGTTATAAATCTATCGAAATTTCCTTCTATTCTTGGGGAATTTTTATTCCTGGAAATCCTACTATTCCTACTTTAACAAGCTGTCTCTTTCGCATATATTCTTCAGTTTCATAATCATTAAAATGTTTTCCAGAAATAAATGCAAGTTAAGACCATAGCAAAAGATATTTTTGAAGAGCAGGTGATATATTTATAGTATCAATTATAATGAGTGACTTTAAAATAAAAAATTATAAACAAATGATTAATTTAATAAATTATTCAACTAAAAAGTTTCTGTATCTAATTAGGTCTGTAAACTGAATATTATTTGTGAAACAGGCGAAATATTATTAGTTAAATATTAATAATAAATTAATAAATCATACAAGATTATCCAAATGGTAAAATTTTTATGAAATCGCTTCATCTTTTCAAAATTATTATTAGTTCTTATTAAACTCATCATTCCATTTGTATTATAGGAATAACATGAATTATTTCCATATAATAATTTTTAGTCCTCCTTTTAACAATTCTACATTTATTTCTTTCGTTGCCTGCCATCTCACTGTATATCTACTTTTCACCATGACTGCATGAACCTCCTTGTTGTATAGATTGGACTAGAATTTATTTTAAAATTTTAATTTTTTCAAATTTAACTAATTAATTTTTATTTTTGTATTAATTATATTATTCCCTTCTAGGATAAAAATTATGTACATTTCCCTTAATTTTTTATTTTGTTCTCTCCTATTCTAATAAATTTTGCAAATGGTCAATATTGTAATACATTACAGTCGAAAAACATTCTTACAAAAGATTTTATTCGATTATCAATATTGACTGCAACTTTTATATAAAAGTATAAGGCAAATTAAATTTTTGGTTTTTATATAAGTTTGCAGAATTACTGATATAGGTATGTTTTTATAAGACATAATTGAAAGGATTTTAAGGCCAACAAATCGGCTAAGTATTTATAAATTGTATAAAAATAAAAAAATTAAAAATTATTACTTCAAAAGAAGGGGCCATAAAATGATCAAGATACATATCAAAAACCCTTAAAATTCATCGAAATCGGAACACTCAAATGAATATGATGTGCTGTCTTGCGATGTTGAAGCATTGGTGTCTATTACATAATCTTTAAAAAGAAAAATTATCTTACAAGTTGTGACAGTTTATTAATGATCAAACATACTCAAATTGCTTGCTATATCCAGCAGGCCTTTTCCATTATATAACATTGAACCCAAAAATATGCAATGTTCAAGCATATGCGGCACACCAGAATCATCTTCTGCCTCGGTGGCTAAAATATTAAGTCATGTTTTATTCCTTAAAAAATGAAATAAAGCTTACCAAAGTTAAAATTCGCCTTTATTACAGGACCAAGGCAATTTGATAGGGCAAGGGTAAGTCGAGATTTTTTTGATTTGAATATTTGAACTCTATTTCTATATAATTCAAATGATGTTATATTAGTCCACATTTTTTTATTAAATAATAGAATTAGGATTGATGCACTAGAATAATTCTAAAAATAATAATAAAAATTTATTTTTGTATTAATTTTAAATGTTATTCCCTCTTAAGATAAAGATAATTACCCTTACTTTTATATTTTATTTAGATTTTCCCTTATATTTTTTTATTTTATTAGCTAATTTTTTAATAAAATTTGCAAATGCTCGATATTGTGATGCAATACAGTCGAAAAACATTCTTATAAGAAAATTTTATTCGGTTATACAATATTGACTACAATTTTTATAGAGTCTAAGGCAAATTAAAATTTTAATTTTTTAAATATTTTTGCAGAATTACTGTTAGATCCTTTCATAAGTTAAAATTAAAAGAGATTTTAAGGCCAAATGTCAGATAAGTTGTTATAAATTGTATAATAATATTAAAATTAAAAATTATTACTTCTAAAGAAGGGGCCATTAAATGATCTAGATAGATATTAAAAATCCTTAAAAATCCATCGAAATCGGAACACTCAAATGAATATGATGTGCTGTCTTGCGATGTTGAAGCATTGGTGTCTATTACATAATCTTTAAAAAGAAAAATTATCTTACAAGTTGTGACAGTTTATTAATGATCAAACATACTCAAATTGCTTGCTATATCCAGCAAGCCTCTTCCATTATATAACATTGAACCCAGGAATATGCAATGTTCGAGCATATGCGGGACACCAGAATCATCTTCTGCCTCGGTGGCTAAAATAGTAAATCATGTTTTATTCCCTTAAAAACAAATGAAATAAAGCTTACAAAAGTTAAAATATGCCTTTATTACAGGACCAAGGCAATTTGATAGAGCAAGGGTAAGGCGAGATTTTTTTGATTTAAATATTTGAACTCTATTTCTACATAATTCAAATGATGTAATATTAGTCCACATTTTTTATTAAATAATATATCGAATTAGGATTGATGCACTAGAATAATTTTAAAAATAATAGTAATCAGAATGTTAACTTTTTTAAATAAATTATTAAAAATTTTTAAATAAAATTAAAAAATAAATAATTAATAATCAAAATATCCGACTTGATTTGCCGAGATACAGACCCCAGAAAATTGAAAAATCATAGGGGCGAAAAACCATAAGGTCGAACAATTAAACAATTGATAGCTCATTCGAAAGAGTTCATCGAGCTGAGTCGAATGACACCAAAGTCAACGTGATTGGACAAGATTTGACAAAGTTATGACATAAGTAGACCTAACGGAGTCGGCGACATATCTCACAACTTTGTCAAATTTTGCCCAATCACGTTGATTTGGGGTCATTCGACTCAGTTCCATTAGCTCTATCGAATGAGTTATCATTTGCATGAGCTTTTTTTATTCCAAAAAATCACCCTATGATTTTTCAATTTTCAAGTGTCTGTATTTAGGTCAAATGTTCCTTTTACCGATTTTCATCGTTGAAATCCCGACCTACCATTTTAAAGCTCCAAATCCACCTCTTAATCCCTCCACATCCCTCTTTATCCTAGTTTATTAACTCCAGATCCATCGA